ACCTCCCATCCCCACCCTGACCTACCATATCCCCCTCACACCCTACTTTCTAACTCCAGTGGCATGTAGCCCCACCTCCCATCCCCACCCTGACCTACCATATCCCCCTCACACCCCACTTTCTAACTCCAGTGGCATGTAGCCCCACCTCCCATCCCCACCCTGACCTACCATATCCCCCTCACACCCCACTTTCTAACTCCTTGTTTTCAATTCTATCTGTTCTCTGTTCTCTACATTGTATTTCTTTCACTATTTTCCATATTAAGATACATTATATACTATCCATCATGCAAAACCTTTTTCACCAAAAGGAAACGGGTTTATATAAGTTTTCTCAACTTCTTTCCGGATTCTTTTCCATTTGCATTCAAATTGTGGATATGTATTTTGCTTTCAAGAAAAGAAGTAAAGTTTATACTTATTGGTTTAGATGTTTAGTTATCCCAGAATCAGCAGAACGTTTGTACAATTTATCACAGTTTACCGCTTCAATCCAGAGTTGTGTCCCCTACACTCACTTGAGTCGGTCACTTTCAAGACTCAAGAGTGTAAGAACGAAAATAAATCTGGGTAGAGGTTGTAAAGGCTTGTTTAAAAATTTTAATGCTTACATGATAGCAATAAATTATCAAACAGACACGAAACTAAAATTTACTAGTTATCTCCCCTTATTAAATCATTTAAGAGTGTAAATATTGATTTTCTGTTCTCTAATCTTTTGATAATCAAAAAAGTGGTTATGTCATTTTCGAAGGTCAAAATCAGTGACAATATATATATATCATAAACAAAAATTCTCATTAATGAAAAAAGTATCATTATTTGAGTTATCCCGTCCGGACAGAAGAAGACCGGCTCTGCCACTGGTGTCAATATCACGGCCTATACATACGGGGGACGTACCTCACCTAGGACCGTCTCCGCCTTCCCGTGTCCATACCACGGAGCCACGTCCACGTAGTTGATTCCATTCTTGATCAGATACTTGACGACTTGGTGAGACTCTGAGTTATCCGTCTTACGAAACACACTGCCGAGGGATGATGCACCTGTCCGTATATAATATTAACGTATATTTCGTGGCAGATCTAGAGCCCCCAGTTTCTTCGCTGTTCAAATCAATCCAATAATATTCCGAAATTTAAGCTGAAGCTTAAAGGAACCTCTTTCTTTGTTTAATTTCACTATATTTAAACTTTATTTATTGCACAACAATTTTGAAACAATTAAGTTCATTCAACTTATATAAATCGCTCTTGTTGGCACGGATGTAAGCATGCGAGGGGTCTTATTGTGGTAGGAAACCGTAGTACCCGGAGAAAATCCATGTTGTCGGGCAGGTGACCCCATACCTTTTCACGTCAGATCGTGGAATCGAACCCCGGTCACCTTGGTGAAAGGCAAGCGCGAAATCCACTGCGCCAACCGACCACTCATTCTATCATATAACATGATTCGTAATTCTTGTCGAGTACAAAGCATTACTTTGTTCTATTTATATATTTTACGGTACCTGTACTATGAAGTGATAAACTGAAAATGTAAATCAATAAAATACTGTATGTTAAAAGCTATTTTGTTACTTTCATGAATTCCCATTATTTTTTACTTTGGAAATATATTACGCTGAATATGTGCTTAGGCATGAAGTATATAATCTTTGAAATCCAAGGACAAGTAAATATCTCAACAGAAGATCGAATGTATCGGGAGCGGACGCTTGGTATTTAAATAAGTGTTTTGAACAAGAGAGGATAACTCTACGACACTAACCGAAACTGAGGACAGAAGGCTTCATCCCAGTGTTGCCTAGAGGATTATACGTCATTTTCAGCACAGCATCTTTGTCATGGAAACCATCCACATAGGTCGCAGGGAGGCTGGAAGGCAGACATATATTAGCAGCTGAACACGCACAGTTTAAAGAAACGGAAACCTTAGGTTAGCCTAGAAGCTTGTTACCAGGACACATATGTTCGCACTCTTCAAATTCATAAAAAAAAAATCCAATTCTGGTTCATAAAAAACCCGCAGACTGTTTAAAACATTCGGGCTGCTGCCCTTCATCAGTCGCGTTAAGGAAAATTGTGCAAATCTATGTGATGTCCATTTTGAATGACTGGATACCTGGGCCGTTTCGTTTAAACGGTTGAACCGGTTGGACCAAAGTGGTTCGTTTATTAAATAAGGTCGGACCTTGTAATCTGATGTTGCATGCTTTCAGGCAAGCCTTGACAAAGCCTTGCAATGCCTGCATACACTTTTGCACATCTGCCAGGATTTATACCCGAAAATGTTACATATAAAAATGGACAAACCGGTTGTTCCGCATCAACGAACAGGCCCCAGCAGGACAATAGACAGAAAATTTCCAGTGAGAAACATTCGAAAAATGTATTGGATATATTTCCCCCGTGAGACTTCTCAAAGATGAACAAAACACACACAGGTGACTAATCAATAACTTTAGTTAAAGATTAGTTCTTAAGCTCAGTTATACTATGTACTATAGAGGCTAGCGTTAAGTTAGGTTTTAATCTGTGAAGGTAATTAGCTGGGCTCAGAGGTTTTATCTCATCGGTTTGTTAAAACCAAGTAAATTGTGATACTCCTTTAAGATTGGTATATATAATATAGGTATATTCTATTCTTGTCGAGTACAAAGCATTGACCCGACAATGACCTGAAAATTATCAGTTTCAGAAAGCCTACCGGAACACTGTTTCCCCATCTTAAATTTTTTATTTATTTATTTGCCGATTGTTGTACTTCTTTGTAAGATGAATCGCAGGTGACGTGTTGATACACAGTCATCTACAACAGTTCTGCTGGACATGGCTAGTACATCTCTTGACTCATTTGCTAGTCTTTTAATTTCACAACATTTTTTTTCGTCAGATTATACTTTTATGTCTCCCTTCTCTAGCTTGGTAAACTCTGACTGTGTATAAATTCGCGCACCATAGAATATATGTTCATTGCCAACTGCGTTCATACTAGACTATATACGCCGTCTTTCCTCGTTGCAATATATAGATATGATTTAAGTGCCCCATTATAGACACATTTTTATTTTATTTGTTGGTGATTACCCTAGTGTTGAGAGGCCGACTGAGTTTTCAGTCTATATATAATTTTACTCATTTTTTTCAGTGAAAACATTACACATAAAATATAAATTACCTTAATAAAATATACTAAAATAATAAAAATAGTATTAGAACTACCGGCATTCCACGTGTACAATCTTTAATCTTAACCGTTGTACTACGTAAATTTATTAGATGTTCTTTTCTAAATTTAGTGGGGGGATTTTGACGCACGTGTGGTCTTTTGATGGAACAAAAATTCTAAGGAAGGTGTTAAAAATGGTAACTCTTACAGCAACATATTTTGTGCGATGCATATATACATTTCAGTTATGTTACAATGTTTAAAGTTTATCTTGCTTGCTATCACATTTATATCATCGTTGAGAAGAGGGCTTTTAAAATAAACGTCCTTAAAAGGCTGTTATTTAAACTTGTGTCTGATCTTTTCGCTAAGTTTCATCTATTAAAAGCAATAAAATGCGTTTCATTCAGAAACATGAATTAAACTAATGCAAACCCTCGGGCTACTTGTGTATGCATAGATACTTTTAACTATATTGATATGGAGACTACGTGTACGTTTCACACCAGCGATCGTATACATTCTGTTGTCATACGCGACACGGTGAATACTTTTGGATACATTTATTAGTGACTGTTATATGTCACTTCCCGGCTAGTGCTGATGAACAAATAATTAATTGTACGTAGCACAACAATTTTACATCCGCGTTGATGTATGACTGTATTAATATAGATGTATATCGCAGGGACCTGAACATTTGTTACAGCTTATAGTTAGACCTAAAACTAATGAAGGTATTTAGAGTAATTTTACACCTTTGGGGGTATTACAATTTTCGGTAAAAATGCCACCCCCAATGATGATATAATGTACAAGCGTATATTATCATCACTGGGGGGATGGGGTATATTTCCAAATGTAGCTATAGCAAATTCTAAGGGCCTGTGATGTATTATCACAGCGGGAAGGAAAGGATGTTAGCTAACCAAGCGTATGTGTATGCAGAAGCTAGGTTGATCGGCACGCCCCCTCCTGGCACACTGACAAACATCAGCATCAAACCCCAACATCAATATTACCCTGCCATTTACCTGCTGTTATAACGAAATCACTCACCTGATATCCGCCATTTTACGTAAGTCAAAGTGTATCAAGACTCTTGTTGATCTTTGTGAAAAGGTGGATGCAATAATAATAAATACTGACAACGCATACGTGGGCACAGCTGTTCACGTCACAGTGTTATCTTTGTCCTACGTAACAAGGGAAACAACTCTAACTCGCATTTGCCTCATCAAGTGCCAACAGCGAAAAAAATCAACACGTTGATCCTCCACGCAATTACTTTGTATGGCAGCGTGACCATTTTTAATATATATATATATATATATATAACATTAAACACTGAAATGTTAGTTCAGCAAATATGTAATATTAAGGCTGGCTATCACCGCCAAATTAAATATATATATTTGTCAGTACTACTCACAATAATAACAATTCTTTAGAGTCTAATCTATCTTTCACTGACCACTTCACATTGTATTGGTCTCATCTAAAGCATGTAGGTCCTATTAAGACATATTAGTAAATCATATGCCGTCTACAAATAAGAAGTATCAATTATCAGAAACATAGACGAAGTCGAGTGTTATTATTACTTTCTCATGTATATATAATCACATTTACCGAAATAAATTTCCTCAATTGTTAAATGCTAAATTATGTTTAATCATAATATAACATAAAACGTATGAAAAACTGTACGGAGGAAAGAACTGTATTTGGCAGGTGACATTGTTAAATTATATATAATTATGATACAATTGAACTGAAGTGAATATTGATCTGCTGCTTCTGAAAATACCAAGTCAATATTGCAATATCGCAATTCACCGACCTCCATAAGACTATGATGCAAAAATGCAATGAAGATGTAGGCAAAATGTGTATAGTCTATCCTCTAATATGATATCTTAATCAAAGACCGGATTTTTTTTTTTGATTTTTTTTTTGGCTTTTTGATCATATTTTATCAAAAACCTAAACATTCAAAAATCAAAGGCGGTTCTTGATACTAGTAGTTCTCTGTATAAAACAAGGATTCATTAACTGTACGGTAATGACACAACAAGCTGGACCATTATACTCTTTGAAAAATCGTATACTTAGTATTGTCGACACGCTGCTGACATTTAAAAATAAAAGTGTGAACAAAGCAAAGAAAATGAACATGTGCTTAAATTATTTTCTCTCAATAAAACAAAATCAACTGTTTCCAATTTGCCAATTTTTCCTGGTATTTTATAGATTTTGCTCAATATCATTTATCATTTGTCAGCGGAAAACATTATAGTAACCGGAACGAGACATTAAGAGAAAACACTACAGTAACCGGAACGTGACATTAAGAGAAAACAGTATAGTAACCGGAACGTGACATTAAGAGAAAACATAATAGTAACCGGAACGTGACATTAAGAGAAAACATTATAGTAACAGGAACGTGAGATTAAGAGAAAACATTATAGTAACCGGAACGTGACATTAAGAGAAAAAAGTATAGTAACCGGAACGTGACATTAAGAGAAAAACATTATAGTAACAGGAACGTGACATTAAGAGAAAACATTATAGTAACCGGAACGTGACATTAAGAGAAAACATTATAGTAACAGGAACGTGACATTAAGAGAAAACATTATAGTAACCGGAACGTGACATTAAGAGAAAATAGTATAGTAACCGGGACGTGACATTTAGAGAAAACATTATAGTAACCGGAACGTGACATTAAGAGAAAGCATTAGAGTAACCGCAACGTGACCTTAAGAGAAACATTATAGTTACCGGAGCGTGATATTAAGAGAAACATTTTAGTAACCGAAACGTGTTTTTTCTGACCATTTCAGTTATCAAACCCTGGAAGTGAAATGTACTGTATACATAATATACCGAACAATAAATCCTCACCATTAACACTTACAGCTTTATCCAGACACACTTCCTCTCACTTTATACAGCACAATATAATATTTTCATTTTTTTTGTCTATAGGCTAAAGTTATCCCACCATATTTTTGATATCAGGCCAAAAAACATGAATGTTTCAGGTATTACCCGACCTCCGATCCTAAAAATATATTTCACTCAAATGCACTTTAAAAAACGTCACGTTTTAACGCGCAGACAATTCTAAGCGTCTTTGACATGACACCTTTCTATTTGATAGGCAGCTAGGTATCGAAACATAATTCCATTCCCATATTATTATTTACAATAACTAAAAACGTTTTTAATTGAATATAATTGGTCTGAATAACAATGTTTGATAAGTTTTGTAATTTGTTTTCTTGAATAAGCCATAACTCAGCCCCTCCTTCAAAAAACTTAAGTAAAAAAATATATAAGAAGAAATCCCTATCTTTGTCATGTCACCTTAATTATATGCAGTTTTTTCTTGCCTCAGACTTAAAAGCAGTATACCACCAATAATCAGTATCAACAACCATAGTTTTTGTCTCGGTCGAACATAAACCTTCACTCTACCATTCAAATGGCATAACGTTATAGCTACCAAACGAGATATCGTACATCGCAGAACATGGGATGAAAGGGGCATACTTAATGCACCGATTAATCTAAGTACTTCCCTTGACCAGTAGTACAAAATACTGAAGGTAATGGAATTAAAAATACACTTGTAAGGCAACCTTGTGACTTTAATTATAATACACAAGGTAAGTGTTCGCTCCTAGGTAACACTTAACACAGCCATATGATACATCTACTAAACAGTTGTAGCACGGACTTAGATAACAATCTAATTCTGTGGTCGACTAGTAGCAACATCTTATTTCAATTATTTCTCCTCTTTGTACTACTTTGCATTCTTTTATTTAACTGATTCTTCTAAATCTATGTGAAATTAGCCTCAAGTTTATTGTCCTTATCTCATGACATGTCGTTCATATCTGAAACAAAACATGTATATTTCATATTGATTAGCATAAGATACAGGCATCTCAACTCAATGACTGTGAAATGAAGTTGAAACTATTTTTATCATTATATCCAAGGATAAAAGAGTGTATCTAGATAATCTTAAATAATTCACTGTTAAATGTCACGTGTCCTCATTTTAGGTTGCCCATGATAAAGATATTTCAAATTAAAATGACTACGCTGACTTCCTTCTCAGACAAATCACTAAATCACTTAAAAGTAAGCCGTCAGTTAAATTACCCGCCATTTCATATTACACATAAAATTCAGATAGGGTACCACGCGATTTCATTTCACTGACCCCCTATTGCCTAGGAATTGACGTGGCATGTGCAACGAACTCTCCTTCCACGTCCGCCATTTTGTGTTGTCTCAGTGCTGTCAAACCACGCGACCGGGCGACATTGTATTGTTCACTTACTGTATGATCGCCTTTAAGACACAGACATTACTAGGGAGCTGATACTCTTTACAGGAACAGGTAAAATGTCCTTAAAATGCAGAAACCATCACAATAATTTCGTTTTATTTAACTTAGCTTCCGGTTTATGTTATTTCAACATTTGAGGGTGTGGATTTATCCTTTTGTTTCACGCCTATGTAAAATGGCTATGCCCAGCTTGTGAGATTTGTATAAAGAGACATTGTACAAATATTATAATTCAAACCGTGAAAAAACACCGCTATCATGTTAAGCTTGGAGGATAGCGTTTTTCGCCGGCGTTACCGGCGTAACAATTCGTAAATGACAAAAATTGGGGGAGGGGGGG